GATGAACTACCCAAAAATGCTTGGCGATCTTCTCTCCAACTTGTAGATGACATAGGTGGAGAGGAGCGGAACGTGCTCGGCAACGGCTTCACCGTGGCGGCCTAGATCCAGACCTGCTGCACCAGCTTGCCTGCACAGGCGACAGAGAGGATGACCAATGGATAGTAGGCAGCTATCTCGGTGAAGATGGGGCCGACAGGATTTCCCAGAACAGAGCTCGACGAGAATAGGAAGGTCTGAATGGTGGGAATCCAGAAGGCCACGACTGGAATGAAGTAGACCGCCTTCCGGCCGGAGAGTCGCTGGATGTGATCCTTCATGAACCATCCCACAGCGGCCACAATGGCAACTCCATAGGCATGGAAAACGTGTGTACCGTGAGTACCATAGACAGGGGCCAAAGTCAGAACCGTCAAAGGCGAGTAGAACGCGGTGAGCACCAGCAGTGCTGCACCGGTCACCAGCTGCCTGGTGGTGGGTTTTTGCCACAGGGCACCAAGAGAAGACATGGTGTCCGTTTCTGAGATGACGGGATTTGCCAGCACAACACGTTCTTAGTGAACTTCAAGCTGACCAGAGTGATTCTTTTGGCCAGGGAGCTTTCCTGAAGGTACTTGTTAGTTCAATGAAGTCCATTTTGAGCTGTCACTTTTTTCTTTGGGGGAGCAGGGGCAGACTGTGGACCCCCCCCCGGCAGACAAGCAATGACAGGACAAGTAACTGGATGTGAAACGGAAAGAGGGAGACTAGTCTTACCTTCTTTCTCAGTTCGAAACTCGAGTAGCCATACTCCGTTGCCGGACTTAATGGAATGAGCAAGCACTGAGGAAGATGATGTTCTTCGTGTGTTCCGCGGAGCTTCGATGACGGCAGGAATTAATCTGCCACCCGCCGCTCTCTTCCGCTTTCCCCCCCTCTCTTCTCCGCTTCCCCCCTCTTCATCTTTATTGTCGTTCGACCTCTTCGAATCTTGCTTATTGTCGCTAAGACATATGTTCCAGCTTCAGTCCGGTCTGAACTAATTGATAATGCCTCTTTTCCCAATGGGTATCACTCCAACGACGCCCAAGATGGAGGCAAATCCTGCCTCCTCCGCCGTGCCCACCTCCCCGGCCACCCAGATTAAGAACCGTCGCAAGCGTTACCTGGACATGCACCCAGAGTACTTTTCTGCTGATCTCGAGCTAGCCGGTCCGCTTGTCGCTCATCTGTGTTTTACTTTGATGACATGACTGGCACACTGCCAGCCTTAGTCGTCACGAACAACCTACATAGATATTGTCAAGCTAACACCCCCAGCAACCGCACAGACCCCTTGCTCTATGACCGTTTGATCCGCCGTTTCCAGACTCCCGCAGAACGAGAAGCCGAAGGACGCGCCAAAGGATTTTCCGGTGTCCTCCAGGCGGACCTGTGCCGCTCCGAAGCGAAATTCGAGGCGTTGAACCACCCGGACCCCCACGCCATGTTCAGCTACACCCGGGGTCCGAACGGGGAGATCCTCGCCGAGGACAGAGACGAGATCCCGCCCAGCAAGGAGGAAGGCGAGAAGCTGTGGCAGTGGGAGATGACCATGCGGTTCCTGCGGGGCGAGGATACGGATTTCGACTACGCCACCGTCGATCACAATGATGAATATGACGATTGGAACGAGGCGCAGGAACAGTACTTTGACGACGAGGAGCCGGAATGGATTGTCGAGGGCGAGGGCGAGGGCAGTGGGGATGTCAGGTCTCGGCTTCAAGGTGAGACTGGCATTCAGGACTTTTGAGCCGCTTTGCCGTGATCGTTTGTTTTGCGGATCCGGATACGCCACGGTTCGGGGCAGTCTCGGCTCGTCCCGAGCGTTTACTCGTACTTTGACCTACGATCTTCTTCTTGTGCTTTCAGTCTCAGCCTCTGATGAGTGATGACTTGCTCTTTGCGGCGCAATTCTATGACTGGATCTCCATTCTCGCATACTGCAGATTCAGCGGAAGCTGACATACTGGCGTTTGATATTCGTCAGAGCGACTTTTCCGAGGCCCGTCAAGACCGACATGGAGGAACAGCCCAAGCATGCGTCATTGAATACCAGACCACCACGCCATGGCTGGAGATGAGTGTCACTTGGCCGGCAGACGGCCGAGACCAGTCCGTAACATCACTAAAGGGGGGTAGAGGAGATCAGGACTGGGGATCTCCTCCACGGCTCGCTAAGAATTGGCTTTGGCGGAGGGGTCGATTGTCCTAGCATGCCCCTCCCCCGTGCTTGTTGCATCAGAGCTTGGATCTCTCTTCCGCAGGAGTCGACTGACGTAGTGAGTCACTTCCCCTTTCAGCTGCTGGGTCAGGCTGATGCCGGACCGTGGGTAATTAGAGCACATGGTACACAGGTTTCCAACGGGGAAAACCTACGGTGAAAATTCAAGCCACGCATAAGGATCTTGATTTTGTGCCGAGCCACTATCTGCTGGTGAATGATTATAGTCATTTAGTATACAGCTTAGTAAATGTATGTATAGGTACTTGGGTCAATGCCAGACAATGGACAATGTAAAGATGGTGAATGGAGAGGCAGCTTGTACACACTTATTCCTTATTCTCTCTCATGTAGTTGATGAGACATGTTTCTAAAGCATGTTTTTCCCGAAGCATGACATCCATACCTGTCACCTCCATCATTGTCCAGAATTGTATTCCTCTCGCAACCTAAATGCACTCTTCAACTCTCAACGCCTACCCATGGAATCCACTTCCAGAATTACATCGTCACGATGCTGCTCAGCACAATTTTCACCCGAGCCCACGGTTAGCGAGCCTGGATAACCCTCAATCCGGCAACCAAGTCAAAGAGAAAAGACACAACTCTTGCTGAAGCAATTCAGCAATAATGCTGTCATTTCCCCATATGACTCTTCTGCTGGCGAGGGAGGGAAAGCCCATCCTTGCCCATCTCGTCTCTTCTTCCATCTTTTTCATCCTTTCTCCCTGTTCCCCCACCTCTGCTGTCTTGTGCATTCAGCAGCAATATCTTGCTTGTCTGAAGCACCACACTTCACTTGTGTGAATAGCAACATCTTCACTATTTACACCTTTACATATTGGCATACGCCTATTCTTACCCGTCAGTGACATTCATCTAATCTGTCATGACATAAGCCTTATCCATCCTTTCCACCCTCCTTCTCCTCGACCTTCACCCTCTGTCCTCGCCTAGCAGGCTCTCTATACTGCAAGGCATCTGGTTTCTGCACCTCGAAGCGCAGAAGAATATATACCTATTGTCTCGAACAATAGGCTGTTGATATATCAGACGGGGCTTTGAGCATTGTCCCCGTTATCGTCGTTATCACTATCATCATCATCACATAGTCGACCAGCCCTATCACTATTACCAGCGATAGCAGGTACTGCCCTCAAGATGCAAACAACGGCCACTCTCCCCATTCGCCTGCACTCAAATAGAGTGTGCATGTCGAGCATGGAAAGCTCGCTCGTAGAGGGCAGCGCCATTACCTCCACCACTACCTCCTTCTCCTCCTCTAGCACATCCTCCTCCTCTTCTTTCTCCACCAGCCCAAGAAACAACAAAGCCTCCAACACCCCCACAAACGAGACTTCCCCCTCCACCCAATCCACCTTCCTCCATTTCAAACCCCTCACCCCCCTCCCCGTTCTCCCCTATCCATACAACTCCAAACACCTCACCCTTCTCCCAAAGCACCACCTTGGCAACGGCGGCAACGGCACCGTGCAAGCCGTGTTCAGCGCCGACCTAAGCGGCGCAACCGGGATAGCCCAGCTCTACGCCCTCAAGACCTGCACCCGACAACCAAGCGCCGAGCTCATCCTCCGCCAGGAAGTGAAGCTGACCCGAGAGCTGCCACCGCACCCACACGTAGTGCAGACCTTCGTGCTAGGCGAGCTCATCCCCACCACAATAGCCGCCACAGTCGCCTCCATCCTCAGTGCCTCAAGCACCACCACCAGCACCAAGACCCCCACACGCAGCAAACAACTAGGCTACCTAATGGAACACTGCCCGCACGGCGACGTGTACGACCTCCTGTACCCGCCCTCCGCAGAAACCACCAAAGCAATCCTCCTCCCACAAACCACACAACTCTGCTTCATCAAGCAACTCTTCCTGGGGGTAAGCTACCTGCACGGCCAAGGCATCGCGCACGGGGACCTCAAGCCGGAGAACCTCCTCCTCGCCGCCGGGGGATCCCTGCTCAAGCTCGCCGACTTCGGCTTCGGCTTCGGCTTCCAGCAGCCTCCCGGCGGGGAGGCGGGGGAGTGCACCCCGATCCCGATCACCGTGAGTGCGACCTCGCCCGTGACCGGGACGGACTCCTACATCGCGCCGGAGATGTGGCTGGCCGATTTCATGGCCGTTGCGCTTGCGGAAGCAGAAGCAGAAACAAAACCAGCACCAAGAAATGTAGCCGCAGCCGAAAGGTCGACGACATACGACCCCCGCGCCGCCGACATCTGGGCCTGCGCCCTCACGGCCCGCCAGATCCTGGGGCTGGGGTACCCGTGGAAGTACGCGTTGGACACCGCGGACGAACACTTCGCCCGGTTTGGGGACGGGTGGGCGAGGTTCTGGGCGAAGGGGTGTACCCGCCTCGACGCCGCCGCCGGGAAATGGCCCCTGTGCGGCCGCGGGTTCAGGGCCAAGCATTATCCGGATTATGCGGCGCTGGTGCTCGTGCTGGGGATGCTGCATCCGGATCCCGAGCAGCGGCTGACTATTGAGGACATCCTAAGGGATCCCTGGGTTCAGGGGATTCCGTGCTGTTCGCCGGTTGTGACCGCGGGGAGCCGCGCCGTGCATGATCATGCTCGGTTGAGGGCGGATTCGGGGGTGAAGTGCACGAGATAAAGGGGATGTCTTTCAGGGATTGGGGTTGGGTTTGGGTGAGGGAGTTGGGGAAGGGCTCCTACTGGACTCTTGGAACGAACAAGTCGTTGTGGATAGAACGACGATTGTTCGACTTGCAGGGCCCAAAGTCGATTTCCTGGGCATTGGGGGTTGTTTGGATAGTTGCGACATGGCCGTCCGTTTGTTTGCTTGATCACGGACAGGCTTATTTCACTGTACACTCGAAAAGAGAGTGTCTTTTCTTTGGATGCACGTTGAGCGTCTTCGTCGCATAGCGAGCGATTATACCCTTTGACATGCCAACGGAGTTTATTTGCTGTTTGTCTGAGAGGACTAACCATTTCATTATGCAGCGCTCGATCAAATATGTCAATGATAAGTAGGTTTCATGACGCGCATTCGAACCGTAGCGCTCATTGTCTACCCATAATTCATCTGTTTGTCCATCATGAAGTGAAATGTTTTACATCCATATACATTTCCAATCCACTTCTAATAGACCCCAGGAGTAGATGACAAAAGTAAGTTCCCGCTCTAACCAATAGCTATTCATGTAGCGTAGATGTCCAAACCGATAAGCCAGTCCATCATGCAGAATGGCTCTCCCTCTCCCTCTGCTTCAAGCTCTTCACCGCAATCTCGCGAAGCATGAATTTCTGAACCTTGCCACTCGCAGTTTTCGGGAACGACTCCGAGGAGGGCAGGAAGAACACATATTTCGGGACTGTTTCAGCTGTTAGCAATTCTCGAATCTGAAAGACCCTTGGATTGTACGCACCAAGGTGGTTGCTCAGCGTCTCGTTGACATATCTCTTCACCTTCTCCTCCCTAGCATCCTCACCGTCGGGGTCTCGGTGTATGATAAAGGCAGCCACCGCCTCGCCGTATCGTTCGTCGGGAACCCCAACGACCGAAACATTCAAGACTCCGGGGTAAGCAAGAAGACAATTTTCTACCTCGAGGGGATGGATATTCTCGCCACCGCGTATAATAAGGTCTTTGACGCGGCCTGTGATTGTGATGTAGCCATCTGGGCTGATGGTTGCCTCGTCACCAGTCTAGGTAGTCATCATTAGTGGAATCGATCATCAGACTCAGGAACTCAATGACATACGTGCATCCAGACTTTCCCGTTCTCGTCGGGAATCATCACCTCGGCTGTTTTCTTCGGGTCGTTCCAGTATTCTTTCATCAGGAGGTAGCCGCTGACTGCCAGTTCTCCGCGGACATCGACGGGAACAATCTTGCGGTGGTCGGTCAGGTCAACCACTTTGGCTTCCACGTGGGGTAGGAGGGTGCCGACAGTGTGGATACGCTTGTCGATGGGGTCGTCGGTTGTAGTCATGGCGGAGACTGGGCTGGTCTCGGTCATGCCGTAGCAGATGGTGAGTTCGGTGAGGTTGAGGATTTTGTGAAGCTTCTTCATCAACTCCGCTGGAATGCTGCTTCCGGCTGCGATGCCAGTCCGGAGGTACTGGAAACCTTCGAGCGAGACCTCGCCACTCTCGAGCAGACTGAGCTCCTCGAGAAACATGGTGGGCACACCGTACAGGGCTGTGCACCGTTCTTCTTGCACTGCTTTGAGAGCGGCTCTGGCGTTGAAGGACTCCGTCGGGAACACAATGGAAGAACCGTGGGTCCCCGTCGCCATGTACCCCAAAACAGAGCCGAAGCAGTGAAAGAGAGGTGGGGGGCAGCAGACAACATCCTCGGGGGTGAGGCGCATGCGGTCTCCGATCTGAGAGCCATTGTTCAGAATTGAGCGGTGCGTCAGACAGGCAGCCTTGGGCATTGCAGTTGTTCCAGATGTGAATTGAATGTTTATAATGTCATCAGGGGACAGGTTCTGCGGTGGTAGAGAGCTCCCATCAGAGGCAGCATCTGATGTAAGTGAGGCATAT